TCCCAGTCACTGTGTGAAAACTGGACAGTGAAGAAAGATGACAGGAAGAAAACTGATGCACTTGAAACATGGTGCTGGAGGAGAGCTTTGGACTAACAGAAAGTTGAATAAGTGGGTTCTAGAGCAAATCAAGCCAGATGGTGCCATACTTCCATCACATACGGTGACAAGACTCACTGGAGAAGATCATCATGGCAGGGAAAGTCAAAGAAAGGAAAAGAAGAGGGAAGCCAAATATGGGATCAATTGACTCCTTAAAGGAAACCACAGCCTTGATTTTACAAGAGCTAACTAGGACAGGGTTTTTTTTGGAAGGCATTATTAATAGGGTAGCTATAAGCTGGAGACAACTTGATGACACACAACAACAAAAACCCTTTTTAGCTTTATTTTATTTCTATTTACTATTTTATTTATTTTATTAAAACATTTCTATGCCGCCCCTTGCCGAAGCCTCGGGGTGGCTCACAACATCAAATAAAATACACAATAAATTAAAACATAACAATTAAAATATATACAGTAGAATAAAATAAGCCGCCCTGGCCAAATAAAATTCAATACTATTAACATTTAAAATGCTGCTGAAATAAAAAGGTCTTCGCCTGGCGCCGAAAAACAAATAACGACTATACATGCTAAATTAAATCACCCTCTAGAGCTATCATTTGACAGGGCAGTGGATGAACACTGCCAGATGAGCTTGTAACAACAAAGCAGAGAGATTAACATTAGTAAACTGTGTTACTTAGCCACAGTTCTGTAAACTGTCAACAGGTTTACAAAATGACAAGACTGAGCATACCCCAGTTGCAAATAAACAGGGTCCAAATCCAGCAGGTTCCCCTACACCAGTAAATACTGAATGGTGAACATTTGAGCTCCATAAATATACTGGCCTTAGGGGAGGGCAGAGGCAGAACTTCGTTATAAGCAGAGTTTAGCAATAATGAACCAGTGAGCATCATGGCACTTGCAAGCCAGACTACAGGACTGGAAAACTGAGGGAGAACAGCTGCCGGATAAGTGGCTGTTTTGCAAACACTTGAAAATCCTTTCCCAGAGAGTTTCAACTGAATATTACTTTAAGATAAAACACAATGACATTGTGCTTATTCAAGGGTCACAGTGGAAAGAGCAGCCAGTTTCTCTCTTACTTAGCCTCTGTGTACACAAACATTGTGGTTAGTAAGGACGATCATTCCAACAGGTGTTTTGGCTCCCCAGCTCCTTTCTATATACAGATTCTTTTTTTTTCCAGGCAAACATGCTTCACCTTCTAATCTTGTGCAGAGATTCAAAAGGCTTCACTACTGAGATCATGCTGCAAAATATAGCTTCGAATAAAGAATGTAGTAAGTGTAACAGAATCCTGCGAACACATATTTCCATGTGCATAAAAAACAAAACCCTGATATTACAACTCCTGACTGATAAAGGATTTCTACTGTTCACTAATTACCTTAAAATTAGCAGGGGAGAAGATGACTATAAAGAGACATGTAAGGGCTTCATGTAGACCATCTTCCTCATTTGCAGTTGCACCCCATAATTTGGATGCATGGAGAATAAATTATAAGTATGTACAATTTATAACATCAGACAACAACATCATTATTGATCACAGGATGTGTCTGTTAAGACTTCACTTCCAAATTCCTAGCTCTGTGGAACATGGACCAACAGGAAATAACTTTCTCTGGTCTTTCATCAGCACATGTCTTCGAATCATTGGACAAATATTTCACTTCACCAACAAACAGATCACTCTTCTGGCCAATGCTGGAGTTTCCCAACACCACCAAATAAAAAAACCCCTGATCAGACACAGTACTTCACAACTGTATATAAGATCAGGTTTGCAATATGGCAGCATTTATATTCTTTATATTCATTTATAATTTTAGACCAGTGAGAGTTCAGGGAGAGGCTACTCAACTCATCCCTTGTATACATGTAATCACAAGAGAGAAAGTGTGTGTGTTTGTGTGCACATACATATATATATGCACATGTATTTATCAATACACCCTGTAGTGCAGGCAATAATGGTTTCCAAATACTTCCTGGTAATTCTGTAGGACCTATGAAAAAAAAAGTCTTCTAAAGATGTCCTGTTGAACTCAAGTGCCCTAATGAGCTTTTCAATCTAGATACAATCTAGATCTGAGAACCAGTGTGATATAGTGGTTAAGACTGTTGTACTAGGACTCTGGGTTCTAATCCCCACTCAGTCATGAAGCCCACTGGGTGAGTTTGAGCTGGTCACTCTCTCTCAGCCTAATCTACTTCATAGGATTGCTGTTGTGAGGATTAATTGGAGAGAAGAACTTTGTAAGCTGCCTTGGGTTCTTTATATCCCACCTTTGTTCCTTTTATAAAGACAATGTAATAATAATAACCATTCATCAATACAAAGTTCTAACCCTCTCTTTGAGCCCTTTAAATCAAGTCTGAATGTATCCAAATGCTTCAGCCTTCTTACAATATCCTATCAACATAGGGCATCAGATGCTGCTCTTTCAGTTTAATTCAGATTGTACAGGTCTCTCACACTCAGACCTAAGCAAAGCCAATACATGGGAACTGATTACACATTCTCTCCAAAAGACTTGGTATAGAAAAGTCATTTATCAAAGATGAAATGAGATGAAACCAAGTCTCATGAGTTTAAAATCTTGTTCTTCAGCAGCAGCCTTTGCCCTCGATGTTCATTTTATCAATGGGCAATAGGTGGCATATTGCCATCCAGATATATTGTAAGATTTAGCACATCAGTCAGTCATTTGGAAAGCAAAGTCAAAAAGTCAGGCTACTCCCACCTCTTCCCAAATGAAGTCTATTCATGAATCTAGTTGAACCTCCAGCCCACAGGCCAGATCTGAATCACCTGGGATCTCATTCCAGCCCACCATCATTTCCCAGAAGGCCAAACCCACTCATAGTTGGTGGTTTTCCGGGTTCTGCAGTTTCCCCACATCCTATAAAGTTGAAATGCCTCTCCTATAGCTTAGTTTCTGGCAGTATGAACAATAAGTTATTCTGTTCTCTATTTTTGTTGCTTTGTCATCACTCCCTCTGCCTTTGGCCACACCTAAGATTAGAGCGTAACCCCCCAAAACCTTATCTGAAACAGAATTTGGCCCTTGGGCTTAAAAAGTTTCAATACATCTGAATCAGACAGTTATTTGATCTCCTAAATATCTCTAAGCCACCTTTTTAAGACAGGAAAGTCTTGCCAGTTCATTTAGACCTCATGTTTCCACAAAAAAATTAAGAGTGATAAAACACAGAATACAACTTTCATGTGCTTTTGCATTTACAGAGTCAGAAATGTTCAACACAATGGAGTAGAAAAGAGCATTGTTATACATACATTGTATAAGAGTAAAGGCTGCATTTTACCCCAATGGGACAATCCTGCAGCTTGCTTACTGCATTAGCCTTTGAGAGCTTAGTCTTTCCCACTGGTGTGTTACGCAGAGCACACGATCAACATTTTAAAAATGTAATTAGATCATAATCTCCCAGCGAAACAGAAAATTCTCAGTTAATTGTTTTGTCCACATTAGACATTCATAGAAATTACGGGGCAGGAATTGCTGCCCAGGTATCCAAGGTAATATGTAGTTTTAAAATTCTAAAACAAAGAAGTGTCACAACAAATAGAATAGTCTCAAACTAACTAAGGTCTCTTCATGAGTTTATAGCATGAGATCCCTGACCAAGGCTTCCTCCCTTCTGCCTTCCTTTAGGGCCCAGAAATCCTCATAAGAACAGTGTAACTGGAACAGACTACAGATCCCACTAGTCCAGCATTTTATTGTTAAGAGAGGCCAAACAAATGACTATGAAAAGCTTAGAAGCATGACAAGAATACTATCCCTGTTGTTTGTGCCCAACAATATGCAGGGCAAACTCCCGCTGAATCATGAACATATACCTAAACTTTCCCCTCAGCAATAAAGTATAGAAGCCATGCAGGCTGCTGACAATGCAATACCCTAGACTTTCATAAAGTTTGAACTTTTTTGACAAGGCTGATGATGACTCATTAAGGAAGGGAGACACCAATCATTTGGGAAGTATGAGGCAATAGAGACAGAAAATGGTTAAAGAAGAGCAAACAAAGACATTACAGATGTGAAAGCTCTGCTCATCAGAAATGTGAGCCATGCTTTTGCTTTTTAATTTTTTAAAAAACTTGATTCTCTGAAAGCTAAATTCTGCAGAAGCTTAATGGTGGGGTGGGCAACCTTTGGCCTTACTGATGTTATGGCCTATACCTTCCAGGATCTCTCACCATATGCTGGCTAGGCCAAATGAGAGTTGTAGGCAAAAAAACTGGAGAGCCACAACCACACATTGCCCTCCTCTGGTTCAAAGATTCTGCAGCATGCCAAGTACACATAGCTCAAACACACAGAACCAGTTGGAAGACATTCCAAAGCTTAGAATGTTGGGGTGGTCCCATGCTAAGGTTGGGCAACTCCCAGGTTCAAATCCCCACTTAGCCTGAATGACCCACTGGGAGACCCTGGGCTACTCATTCTAATTCAGCCCAATTGATAGCACAGGTTGTTGTGACAATAAAATGGAAGTGAGGGGTGAAATAAATACTTCCCCTCGAGCACCTGCAATATATACATGCAGTATGGCACAGTGATTAGAGTAAAGTTACAGGACACCTGTAAATTCTGGGTTCAAGTCCCCACTTAGCCATGAAGATCACTGGATGACTTTGGGCAAGTCACTTACTCTCAGCCTAACTCACACTTTCTCAGTCAAACCTACCTGACAGGGCTGTTGTTTTGAGGATAAAATGGAGTGGAGGAGGACTACGTAAGTCACCTTGGGCTCCTCACAAGAGCAAGGTAGGAAATAATAATAAAGGTCAAACCATTTGGAAAAGAGATTCTCCTCATTCCCAAGTAGTGCCTGTGATCACAGTGATGAACTGAAGCCTTACAAACTACAGAGGAACTCTCATTGTGACTTACCGTATGAGGGCTGTCATAATAGATAGCGATAGAGCACAGCTTTGGAGAGATGCTGCAGCTCTCCATAAACAGTCTTCCATTATCGCCATAAGGCCCCACTTGGAATTTGTATGCCACAGTGATGTTGCCAAATGGGGGCAAACCAGCACTCACAACCACTTCTGAGAAGAGTCCCGAATAGACAGCAAATCCAAAGACTGTCAGCAGGAGAAGCACAACCAGTGCTGCAAACAGTCCAATCAGCAACCAGTCCGCCATGACACTTGATGGTTCAAACTGCAGGTATGAACTAATGACAAAAGAGGAGGCAAATATTAGACATTGCCAATGTAGACTGATTTCTCCTAGAGCTACACAAAGGTTTTGTATAGATTCACACATATAAACAGATACACACAAATAAAATCTCTCTTAATAGCTTTAATGAATCTACTTTGATTTTAAAGCAAATTCTGATGTGGACCTTTAATAAAGAACTTAGTCTGAAAAAAAAAACCAATTTCACTTCAGTAACTCTTTGTTCATTCTGAAAAGGAATAAATGCCATATCCTATAACATACTAATATATTAGGCTTGCTATCATCAACTCTGGTGAGATTAGCAAAAGGGCAAAAGCAGCTACAGAAAGGAAATCTTCCCTTGAAAAGGCCACTTAATTTTGTAATAGTATCTTACCAGGAAAAAATGTGCTGCCCTTACTCTCTCTGCATAGATTCACACATTAATAGCCTGAGATAAGCTCAGTACAAGAGCTAAAAGGAAGTTTCCTAATGAACTCAGCATTTATGTTTTAAAAATGCATGTTTCCAGTTCTAAAGATACTTGAAGAAAAGCTCATAAACACTATACTTGGAAGTACAGTGGCTAATGGGGTGGGCAAAAAAATCCAAATAAATATAACTTTCATCAATAGGACAGTACAAATACTATGATAATGAAAAATGTTAAGGCCTTGGATGATTACAGGCCCTAACTCTCTTTAACATCTGCTTCAGAATATCTGACCATAACAGTAGACAAAACAGCCAACTGCTGTTGAGTGATACTGTAAGCATGTGTTAAGTTAGCAGGGAATGGACCATTGCTGAGGGTAGGCCTTATAATGTGAAATTTTCTCTCCTTTTAGAACACCTCTTTGTTTTCCCTCCTCAGCTTTAAAAGTACCTACAAACTAACACAACCTTTCCCAACATGGAACAAGTATCCCTCCAGATACTTCAGACTGCAACTCCTAGCATACCCAAGTCAACTGAGAATTGTCATCCAAAACATCTGGGGAACCCCAAGTTGGGGACAGCTACTTTAACATTCTCCAATGAAAGAAATAACTCATTTTCATTATCCTACACTTTTTGTTTTTCTTAAGTATCAAAGTTCACATTAGACATATAATCTAGTCTTACTGCTTTTCCACCTCTAGAAAGTCTGTGGCAATCTAGAGGGTCAAGAAGCAGCCATGAGAAAGTGGGTTAAGGCTCATCTAAAATTGAATGTGCTTTTAATTCTATTTGTGGTTACATTACAGAAAAGACTCCAAACACAAACTATAATAAATGCAGAGTATATGAACAAAATAATTATTACTATTAACCACAGCTTTTCAGTTTTAAAAATTTCAGCATGGTCCACAGTGCTGAACAATCTCTCTATTTTGATTAAAGTGCATTTAACAATCAATTAAAGTCAATTGATTTAGTTTGTTTGAAAGGAACATAGAAGCCTCTGCAGACATTGAGGTCTCTGACCAGCTTCAACCACACCACAAGTTGTTGTAGGAAATTTAACCCACAATGAATCACAGCACCTGTAGTTGATGGGTTGGATATCCAATCCTAACTCAAGGATTGTCATGTTGTATGAACTTAGTGAGCGATGGGTTCTGTGAAGATTAAACAACCCTCACAAAATCCCCAAAACAGATCATTGTGAACCAGCAGGATAACTTTGGCTATTGAGCAGTACAGAAATAATTCATCAGCATCATGGGTTATCCAAGGGCTGCTTAACCTGTTCCATATGATATAACAATCCCCAAGCAGAAGTTGCATATTTAAAATGGCAGCCACACATTCCCCACATAAACCACAGACTCACCATGGTTTAAATAAAACATGGTGGGCTGTCATGTTGTGCAAACATCCCCTCTGTGTCTTCTTCCAAACCTCCACACCCAATTAAACATTTCATTCAGTGTGACTAGAGCCTTTATTCAAACACATGGAAGGCCTATGATGAACACAGAAAATGCCTGTGAGAAGACTTGCACATGATGGTCAGCTAGTAGTGCCCAAACACATGCTGAAATCTGTATCCTTTGTCCCAGTTGTGCACATAATTGGCTTGCCACAACTGGATGGCATCATAGATCCACATGGCTCTGTGAATGGTCCTTTCTATGAAAGTATGAACTTGATAAGTTATTTGTTAAATATATCCTTCCATGAATAAATCTTAAGTCAAATATCAGTATAGTGCGGAACCTCAAAGCAATCATGTGACTTTTTTTAAATTTTAAAACAGGCATTTGAAGTCAAAAAAAAATGTTCACATCTTCTCCCTCTTTTCAGCAACTATGTAATTTGCATCCAAATCTAATGTTTCACTCAGCGAACCATACTTTGTACTAACCTGAAAAATCAGCAGAATAGTTCCTAGCAATAGATCATTGTATTTCCCAAGGAAGTTTGAGCCAGAATTTTTCTGAAATAGAAGAAAATAAGGCCTGATTGAAATATCCTATTTGCTCAAGACCACATTCAGCAGAACTGCACCACAATCAATCCACATCATTTTTCTAGTATATTGATTTGTTATTTACTTGCAACACCTGTCTTCCACCACATAACAAATTGCCTGGGCAGCTTACAATAAACAAGAATAAAAATGAATTTTAATACAAAGTTCAGATGTTAAAATCGTGAGGCCTAAACTACATAAAAGGTCTAAAAGGACCTGTTATCAAAACTGCTACAGGTGCCATTTCATCCACTCTGAGGTGCTATTCCATAACTGGGGTACCACAAACAAAAAGGCACTCTCTCTAGTATTTGTCTATCGCACTTTATTTAAGTAAAAGCACTCAGAGGACCTTTGAACCTCCAAAGATGATCTTGAGATTCAAGTAGGCACACAGGAGACAAGGTGGTCATTCAAGCCAGTCAGGACTTTAAAAAAAAAAAAAGCAGAAATTGTGCCTTGAAATTGAGAACCCATGCAGCTGACAGCCCACCCAATTCAAATTAGTAATCTAACAGTCCTATTGTGGAACAACTGCAGTTTCTGAACTCATTTTAAAAGCAGTCCAACATATAATGATTGCAAGAGAACATGGGTGATTCTAGCCAAGCTATCTCCACTCAAGTAGGGTGGCAGCTGGCATATCAGTAGAAGCTCAGAAAAACTACTTAAAGCCACAAAGGCAAATAGAGCGTCTGATGACAGTACTGGATCAATGCTGCAAAAGCGCTAATCCATCCAGAGCAGGCTGAACACAAGGGCCACACAAGTAATGGAATCCATATAGTCCCCTTGCAATGCCAATGGAGGGCTATTTGCAGTCAAGCAGTGGGTGGCTACCTATCCCTTTCCTTGCCCACCAATTCTCTTCTGCAAAGCCCCAACATCCATTTTTACTCATTGTGTTTCCAGCCCAGCTGAGAGAAAACACTAGTTCAAAAAAAAGTACTTCATTTGCAAGCACATTAAGCTTTCCTGATTTTCATTTTAGCTTCTCCACCACAGCAAAATCATAAATGGAGCCTTGTACCCAAATTCAAATAGGGAGGTCTTCCTGGATCAAAGATGAGGTGTAAGTTAGATACACAGTTACATGCACATCCGTGTGAGAGTCTGCATCTGTATTTTCAATGCATTCTTTTCAACAGTGTGCATACCTGGATGCAGGGCCAGCCCTCCTAGGAGGCAGGGGGGAATGTGATGGCAAGAGGGGATGTGATGACGCTCCCTCCACAGGTTGGAAGGAAAGCTTGTGCCAATACTACTCACTAAACACCTCGAGATATATCCAAATGTAGAATGTTCTCTGTCTGCACTGGGATACACAGCCAATTTACAGCCATGATTCCAACTGAGGAAATTGATACATAAAGGGAAGGTTGTTTCCACACACCATAAGGACCTTTGCAGAGGCAAGGAAAGGAAAAATAGGGGGAAATGTCCTCTTCGCCATGCTCATTTACCCAGTGCAAAAAAAAAAAAAAAAAAAGCAAAAACTGCAAGCTACATAAGAAGAGCCTTGCTCAATCATACCAAAGGCCAGCTCTATGCAGTCCAGAATCCTGTCTAGCGGCCTCACTGGGAAACTCACAAGCAGAACATTAAAATATAAATAAAGAAAAGATAGCAGCACTTAACACGTAATCAGTTAACTTTTTCCCCCTTGCACAGACACAGAGAGATTAAAAAGTGGTAGTCCATGTTACCAAATTAAGTTTAGGGCTGCAATCTTACATATTTGTATATGAACGTAAGTCCCAATGAACTTAATGGATTTACTGCTGCATAAGCATGCTAAAAGGATTTTAAGTATTTTCCAGATAACATGGATTACATACATTCATTTGCTTGCATTTCTTCCATTGCTTTAGTAATTCAAAAATGTATGGAACTGACAGGTAAAACATTCATAGGGCTTTTGTCTTAAATTCCATATCAGTGTGTTTTTAAGACTATCTAGTCCCTTAAACTGCAAAATGTGTACACTTCTAATTCTTTGATTTGTATAGTATCTTTAAAGAATTGGCAATGGGTTAAAGAGCCAGTTAAAAAGGCCTTGATATCAAATAATAATCATGCATTAAAAGACGGCCTAATAAAATTTGGAATTCCATGAGGAAAAAAAAAGTCCTCCCATCTCTCCTCTGATGTCCCCAATTGAAGCATACAGAGAATACTTAAGGAAAAATAATGAGTTCATAATCTATGGGGACAGGATTGACCAACAAGAATGAATCAAATCTTGGCAACAACTGAAAGATGAAGGAAAAAATATACAATGGTTTATCACCAACTGTTTTCCAGATTGAAAGGGGAAATACAATCAGGGAAAAGTAATGTAAGAGATCTGACAGATTTTGAAAAGTTGATTACACAACAGAACAACCAACCGTTAGAAAGACTTTACAAACAGTTACTACAGCATGACACTGAAAATCAGCAAGACAAGAATGCATGGCAATTTGGAAGCAAAATCTTGGAGAAGAAATATTGCTTTGTCAATGGGAAACTTTATGGAAGAAAGACATTGCATTCACAGCTAGCCAAGCACTAAGAGAAAATTGGTATAAGATGTTTGACCGGTGGTATATTACTCCAAAAGATACAGAAAATACAGAACTACAATGGAAAATGCTGGAAATGAAACAGGGTGGATGGGACTTTCTATCATATGTGGTGGACTTCTGAAACAAATAAAAAATTTTGGAAATTTATAGATGTGGAAATACAAAAAACCTTTAAAACTAAGTTTCCTATGAGTCCTAAGAATATGCTTTTGAATATAATGCTAGAAACTTTTTCAAAGAATATGTCAGAGTTATTTAAATATATGACAACTGCAGCAAAATTTACAATTGCTTCTAAATGGAAAACACCAAAATCCCCCCAACTGAAGATTGGAAAAGTAAGTTGACAGAGTATGCAGTGATGGCAAATTATGTAAATAGAAGACTGATGGAAGAACTTATTAACAAATGGAATTTCTATTATACCTAGTACATAAAAAGTAGCTCTTTAAAAAGTAGTTGATGATTTGTACTTGATTTGAAGCATTTGAAAAATTTGTCAGTATGCAGAATAATAATTCCCTTCTTTCTGAACTTCCTTTGGGTATTGACTGATAGTTATTTTCAATCTCTTTGAAATTTGTGGACTTGAATGTATTGGTTATACTTGTTCAAAATTTATTTGACTTTACACACACACTTCTTTTTTCTGTATTCCATTCATGTCAGGAAAACAATAAAAGTAATAATAAAAAAAAATTCAGGATGGTTATCCATAATTCTACTGCATCACCCAAACCTGGCACCTTCCAGATGATATAGATTGCATACCCCATTATCTCTGATCACTGGCTAGGCTGGCTACAGCTAATAGGAACTGGAGACCAAAATATGTGGAAAGAACTATAATAGTGGAGGGATCTTAAGTGTCATGTGTTTCTTCAATGGAGTGACAGTATACTGTTCTTAAAACAATCAAAAAAATTAGATGTGCAGCCCAATACCAATTATTTAAGTTACAATTTAAATTTCAATTTGATACTGTATTTTGTCACTGCCTATCTAGGGACAGATTTGCATTTGCCTGTATTGATCATGACAGCAGCCTCAGTTTTTCTGGATTTTCTGGATTTAATCCATCTAAATGTAGTTTAATAGTTCATGTTTTTATTTCTAATTCTTAAGCCTGAACAGTAAAACACCTGACATAACTGAGAATGTACTCCTAAGACGTGGAGCTTTTCAAATGAGAGAAATCTTACATTAACCAACAGAGGCAGACAAGCCTTCTATCACCTCTGTAGTTTGATAAGCAGAAAATGTCACCAAGTAATCACTTCAGTTGCTGACCTTGACTACTTGGAAGTGAAATCTGCTTGGAAATCACATTCATCCCTCCCTCTTCAGAGAACTGCTTCAGTTCTCCCAGCTGACTCTGTTTATTTCTGCTGCGTTCTACTTCCTGGTTCATGTGAACCAACTTGATGAGATCACAGTGCTCGTGCTTGCACTTTACAACCAATTCTTAAAGAACCAGGGATGCTTTTATTGAAAACGTTGGAACAGGTTTTCCTGCAAAGCAATCCGATGTCTCATCATGATGCTATGGAGGGAAGGTGATCGAAAAAGACAAATATTTACCATGGAATCCTGAATAAAAAGAGGAGCTTTTGCTCCTTTTAGAGACGATCAGTTCCACCTACATTAAGCGTAATCCTCTGTGTGACTTTTCTAATGCTAATTGTCATGACACAAACAGATTATTACCACTGCAGGTAAAGGCTAAACAACCCAAGTGGAATGATCCCATGGGGCCACTCCACAATAAGATCAAAACAGCAGTACTAGTTAATGCCAGGTTATTAAGAGTCACTCTGCTGTTTTTCCTAACCAGCACAAACAGGGATTTTCCATTCAAATATAAACTGCATCAGCCAGTGCCCACTACATCCTCCCAAAATCTGAGCTACTGAACAGGAATGCTGGAAAGGCAATATCTGAATAGTGTTAGATCAGCTAAATTTGCCATGTATTTCTCCAAGTTTCTTGCTGGCAATTTTGACTTGACCCTGATACCAACTCTTTTAGCACAGTGATTGACCGAGAATCTAAACTTAAAAAAAGAAAAAGAATGTTTTAAGCCTATGCATTTTCAAAGAATAGCACCAGAACAAATTCAGAAAATAGAAAACTATCTTGTTTTTAAGTATATTTAAATACTGAAAGAAAAATACTGTTTCATTCATGAGGGTGACCAAATCCAAATACCCATGGTTAGCAATTACCAGGGAATTAGAGCCGCCTAGAGAATCCATCTGGATTAGGGGGTGGCATACTAATTCAAAAATAAATAAATAAAGGCTGCAATCCTGTACACATGTACCTAGAAGTAGGCTCTGCTGAACAAAGTGGGGCTTACTTTTCAATCAATACGCTTAAAATTGCACAGCTAGGTTGCAATCTAATGCATACTTTCAAATGCAAAAGATGAATTAAATAAGTGCAAGAATTAAAATTCTGGGTTAAATCTGTACTTATTTCATTCAGAATTATTAAGAATGCTTTCAGTGAGAGGAGAGCAGCTGTTGTGCCTTTTAACAGTTGTGTGACGGACAGAATTCAGCAGCAAAAGTTCTGCGGTCAACATATGCTACGGTGATGGCTAAAACTTAAAATATGCCGTGTTTCCGCTTGTCACATGGCTGCTAAAAGCACAACAGCCTGAGGCCAGAAGTAAGGTATACTCTCAGAATTAAAGACATTGTAGTTCTGCATGATATAAAACTGCCCGTAAAGGAGAAGCAGAGATCGACAACAGGTTATTGGGAGAAACAAAATAGCTGCTTGTCATTTACCCCAAATATTAGTCTGCTGAAACCAAAGGCGATTTGGGTTGGTAGGGCTGTTTTCTATTTTAAGGGACACCCCCACCCCCGCACACGATCCACCGCCATAATTCAATCACTCCGCCGCGACAGAAAACTGATTCCTCCTGAATCTCCTTCGTTTTAGCCCTGCCCACTTTTTCGCAACGGCAGGCACCCCCTGCCGCGGGATCCGGGAAGTGGGATCGCCTCGCGCCTACTCCTCCGTCCTCCATCCCCGCGGCTCCCCGGCAGGCGCGCGCCATTCCCCTCCGTGTCCCCCTCCCGCCCCCAACTCACCCCCACGGCTGCTGGGAAGGGAGCGGAGCCGGCTCGGCACTCCAGGGGCTGCTCCCGGCTCGGTCGCGGGCACGCCTGGCTCGGCCGTTGCAAGGCGCGTGCCCGCGTTCGCCGGAGAGCGCGCCGCGACGGGCAGAGCCCCGCGGGATGAGGTGGAGCTCGAAGGGCGGAGCGGCGGCTCCTTCAGCCGGCCGTGGCCGTGCTGGCGGGCTCGTGAGCGCCCGCCAAGGCAGCGCCGAGGGCGACGGCGCAGGCAGTTCCAGGTGGTCCTCCTCGTGGCCGCGGGCAGCGCGCCGAGGGGAAGAGGCGGCCTTTCTTTCTAGGCGATGGCTCGGCTGCCGCGCGGTAGCGGAGGAGCTGCTTCCTTTGCTTTATAAAAAGACTCGGGTTTCGCTAGCTAGGGAGTGACTCAGCGTGGGCTATTGAGGAGGGGCAAGTTCGGAAGATACGTTAACTTAACACTACGGTTAAAAGCTTAGTATATATTGTAGCCCAATTCTATGCAAGTTTACTCAAAAGTAAATCCCATTCACTTCAGTGGAGCTTAATGAATGCAGAACACACAAGGTGTTTTTTAGTAAAGTAAATCTATCATATCCACTGTAAACACTTGCAAGACACTGCAATATAATTTAGTAGATTGTGTGCCATTCTGTGGATGGCTAGCCAATAATTTAAAAAAGGCGTTAGGACATGCTGGGAGTTGTAGGATTTTTTCTGCCTAAGCATCCAAAGGATGTTGTCTTTAATATCAGAATGGTTTACATGCAAGTTCATATGCAAAATTGCCTTGGTTCCCTTCTCTTTACCATTTTCCTCAGGCATTCACCAAGATATCCCAGAATCTAATACCCTATGCCTATAAAGCAAGAGTGGGCAACCTCTATCCTTCCAGATATTTTAGTTTATAAATCCCATCAGCTGTAATCAGCATGGCTAATGGTGACAGGAGTCATAGGCCAAAACATATTGAGGGCCATTAGTTTTCCATTTTTGCTATATAACTTCCAGTACCAGGAAGAGTTGTGAAGGTTGTTTCCTTTATGTTCCAGATGATAAAATGAAAACCACTTTCTGAGCACACTTCTTCAGCCTATTTTGGCCTTTCAACCCATTATCATTTAAATTCTGTTGTAAGAGAACACAAACACTAACAGGAAAAAATGTTAAAATCCAAGCCAGCTCTATCGGTATTTGAACTTCCTGTCTGTTCTTTGCTCACATACATGCTTTCTGCAACAGGCAACTATCAGTGTGATGTATATACATATGTAATGTATGTGCTTATCAGGCAGCAGTGGACCAGAGAGCACAGTGGATCGCTGGCAGAATCTGATAATCCTGACCACCTTTCTGCAGCACTGACAAGCTTGACTGTGATCTTTGTGTTTTATGAGTTGTAACAATAGTTCAGGCATGAGTTTGCTAGGAGGCACCACAGGAACTTCAAACAGTTTCCATGAAACTCTCTGCTCCCCCTCCCCCTTCAAACATTTATTTTTAATACAAATTTTGCAAAATTGGTTAGAGTGCTGGGTTCCTGAACCCGCCACCGACCAACTAACTGTTCAGTAAGCAGGAAGGAGAAGGAAAAAGTTGCTTCTAGTCCCTCCCCAGTCTTCTGCCCACACAGGCATTTGCTCTTGCTAACTGTTCTTCTAACTTCAGACTCATTATTATTAGCTCCCTGGGTGGTGAACAGTAGTTAGTAATACAATCAATACAATAACAACATAAAATTATACTTAAAATATTTTAAGCTCTATTTTAACAACTTAAAGCACTAACACCAGTTCATGTTGCTAGGGATTCTAAAACCAAATGGTGATACCTTTCCCTCCATGTTCTATTTGGTATTGGTAAATGTCTTGACAAAGAGCGCGGTTTTAACCTGGCACCAAAAAGAGTATAAAGTTGGTGCCAGGCAGGTGTTTTTGGGGTGATCATTACATAATTTGGGAATGACCACAGAAAAGGCTGAAGGCCTTCTCTAGCCTAGCTCTTTCATTTTCACCCTCCTCATTCAAGCTCTTTCTCCTGGTCAGTAGGCACACTCTTTTTGTGCCCCTTCCCAGCCTCCTCTCATTTTTCTCTCTCTCATGTACACACAGAGCACTTTCCCAGGCAGGGTCTCTGAAGATAGGAGGAGTTAAGGTGTGGAGAGAAGTGCCTGAATGTCCAGTCAAAGTAAAGAAAACTGCCCCCATCTTCTAAAGAAAGTACTTTCCTTTGGGGCTGAGGAAAGAGTGTGCACATGTCTGTAAGATGAGCAGAGCAACACTGACTATGTATATTCAAAAGTAATTCTCACTGACCTTTCTGTAAGAATGCATAGCATCATAACCTGAGATGTATATTTTGTTGTGTTACTGTGGGATCCAATGTACAGATTGGTTCTGGATTGAGACCCTTCTGCTCATGACCCTCAGCTTTGTGAGTATATTTCTTATCTTTTGACTAACCTGGTCCTGCAGCAACCATTACGTGAGTAGCTGCTCCCTAGTGTCCACAGCAGATTCTCAAATTCCCCAAAATATCAATGGGTCCCAAAAGGTCTGGAAACTCTGAGCCGGAGTACTATCCATGCCTTCCCATTATCAGTTTGGTACTTGTAATGCCATTCAGCATCATGTTCCAGCTACGCCTTCACCCTTCACTGATTAACACAAGGATTAATGTGCCCTTCATGTTACTTTGGATATTTAGAAACTACAGTTAATTTAAAATGTAGCACAATACAGTTGTACCTTGGCTCACGAACGCCTCAGTTCACAACCAAATCGGGTCACGAACAGAAATTTCATAGGTTGTGAACTCTGCATCGGGTGACGAACGTGAGCGCACCTGCCTGCCTTCCTTCACGGGCTCGATCATGGTCATGCTGGGGGGGGGGGGAGATGGCCGCGATTGAGCCCATGTTCCCTGTCCAAGTGTGCCTGCGCCCGCCTCCCCCCAGCACTCCCGCAATCACGCCCATCTCCCCCCACCCCCTCGCACGATCTTTGTTGTTCTTTGTCACTTTGCTTCAAATTTTTGTGAGTAAAAAAATGTGATTCTCTGCAGAAGGGCTAGTGGGATATGAATTTTAGAACTTTTTTTAAGTTGAGAGGAAGAAGGAGAGATACTCCACTAGCCCGTCTGCAGAGGATCACCATAAAAGCTCTCTGGGCTGTACATAAATTTAAATCCTAAAACACAACATGTATTTGTGTTTAATATACTTAATATACTTATTTTCCATCAAATTTGTCTGATGGCCCTCTAAGCAGTTTTAATCTGCTTGTTTTTATTAGGAAATGTTTAAATACAAAAGCAGAGACAATAAAGACAAAACAATGCACTGCTGAAGGCAGTTAATTTAAAACTGTCAAGATAAAATAAATTATTAAAATATCTAGAAAATAGGGTTGTTTCCCCCGGCACCAAAATGATTGTAACAAGGGCACCAGGCAAACTGCTTTTGGGAGGCAGTTCCACAGCTGTAAATATAATATGAAAACATGAAGAGGTTGAAACAGAATAAAGGCAAAGTAAAAAGCAACAGCAGGGGAAGATCTAAATGTACAAGAACACATTTCAAAACAAAATGGAGAACTAAAAGGCCTGGGAAAATTAAAAGGTCCTTAATTGGTAGAAAAAATATTTCAATGTAAGTGCCAGGTGAACCTCTCTAGGAAGTGCATTCCAAAACTAAGGTGTGTCTGAAAAAACCTGCTCCTTGGTATCATTTACCTCAACTCATTTACCAGGGGAAACAAGAAGGGGTGAACTTAGGATCCAGGCAGGTATACATGGGAGGAACCAATCTTTCAGGTAACATTGTCTGAAGATATTTAGGACTTTAATACTGGCACTTTGATTTGCATCTGCTTGTGTTGATCATGGCACAGGTTGACCAACAGTAGTGGAAGATCACCTGTCCCCGTTAAGTCTTGCTGCAACCTTTTGGACAAACTGAAGTTTCTGAAACATTTCAACGGGGACCTTCACAAATAACACATTGTAGTAATCCCACCAAGAGCATGGACTCAGCTATGTATAACAGAAATTATAGCCAAGCTATAGTGTTGTAGTTGGTTTATCAGCCTAATCTGATAAGAAGTGCTCTGTACCACAGAGTCACATGTACCTCCGGTAACAGTAATACAAGAACATCCCCAAACTATGAACCTGATCCTTGAGTGCATTCCCTTTACGACAGTTTTAAATCTGCTTGTACCATTTCAGAAGACTGTTAAGGGAAATGAGAGAGAAACAGGTCCTTTCCGCCTGTCCTGCTGAAAGTCTTTGTTCTTCCCTCCCATTCCTTTTTGTCATCTCTTTTTAGATTAGAAGCCTTTTTAGATTAGAAGCCTGAGTGTAGGGTCTTGGCTTGTTTATATATTATATACAAGCAGCTCCAGGAGCATTTTTGGCTGAGAAGTGGGATAAAACTATTTTATAAAATGTATCTTCTACTGGGAGGAAAGATATGATACCAGAATAAAAGTTCCCTTAATCCTAGTAAGTACTTAAAATAAGTAAATTAAATAAATACTTGTTTTAGCTCAGAGATAATGGCTCACTTCAGATGACCATGGTTTCAGTAACGGTCTGATCTGCATGAAAATAAAACATAGGAAACAAAAATATTAATAACATGCTTTGATCATAGGAAGGAATGCTACAGTTGGAGTATTACTCAAATATAAGAAAGGACTGACCCCTCATGGTGAAAGCTCTCAATAACAGCTATTAAATCAACTAGAAGGCGATAATAGTGTTTTGTGGATGGATCCTGCAGAAGACAAGATGACAACGATGACGAGGATGATACATAAATATTCAAGAAATCATGAAGAGCCTTAGGTATGACAGTCGAAAGAAAAATAAGCATAGTATGATTTCCAAATACTTTTATACTTTTATCACCAGTTTTGCTTTAGACGCTATTTCTCCCAAAGATTAGCATGTAACCAGTATATAACGTTTAAAGAGCAGTGGCTCTAAATGCCTAAACAGGCTATAATCCTTTACATATTAACCTGGGAATAAGCTCTGTTACATTTAGAGCCACTTTCAACTAAACATGAATATGATCAAACTCTGAATTAGTC